ATTGAGTCTAGTTTGTATAACAAAAATTCTATCAATAATAATTTTAATGTGTATCACATTTTTTTTGTAAACCGCAGCAGATAGCAGTAATGGCATATGTCGTCTTGAAACTAATTTAATTTTTTTATTAAATTATTGTTTTTAGCATTCGAGTACAACAACGATATTACTTTATATCATTATTTTATTTATAAATCTAAGATTTAGAACGGCGTTGAAGTGTAACAATGCCGTAAATGTCAAAAAGGGTTGAGATCAATATGTTCGTCAGCGGTCAAGGCGCATCGTTAAAGTTTCATAATTCGCCCTTCAAGCAATCGGGTCAATTGAGCTTGTCCAGTCCGACAAACCTACAGAAAAACCTGAAGATATTTAACTCACCAACAAAATACATAGCTTTATATCAGTGTACGTATACCTAAAAGGGATTATAGTGGAAATATATTAAAGTTACGCTGAGTAATTAAGCGTTGATAATTACAGTAATAGAACTGAGATAGACCAATTCATGTCTTAGCATGCCTTAGGCGTGAAAGAAATTGTGACGTTATAATGTTAGCAAACTCGTCAGCGTCACATGAAAGTAACTAACGTGATTAAAAGCTTTTTTTAAGACTTCGGTAATTTGCTAAGAAATACGGCTGCTACTAATGTAATAAGTGAACATAATACTGGAATATTATCATATCTTCCATCTTCTTCAATGTAAAAGATAGAGACAAACGATATCGTGTCGAGTCGAAACATAATCAGAACCCATAATAATTTTAAATTACTTGACAACCATTATGCATTATTGTGTAAAATAAGTGAACATAATACTGGAATATTGTTATATCTTCCATCTTCTTCAATGTAAAAGTAATGTAAAATATCGTGTTGAGTCGAAACATAATCAGAACCCATAACAATTTTAAATTACTTGACATTATGCATTATTGTGTAATGGTTCATGTCACCACTTAGCAACAAGGTGATTCACAAAATTTATCAGATTTTCCTGCAAGAAATTGAGAATATTGTTCAACGAATTTTTTGAACGACATTTTTGCCAAAAAAGCGAGTGGTCATTTTGAAATATAATTTAATACGTTTATTTCTAATGTATATTATACAAATTTGTAATTTATATTTGGTTGATTCATAATCAATTTTTAAAAGGTTATAAGACTGAGTTTTTTTTTAGACAAAATTGAGGAGTCATGTATCAAAACAAAGTTATTAAAATGTTCCAGAGATGCATTTAATATTTACAAGAAAAGAAATGTTCGATTTGTAGGACAGCTTGTTTCCAAAACTATTTAAATTATTATAAAGTCAGATTACTTAGATAAAAAAATATACTGGGTCAATGTTAAAAATTCTTTCCCCGATATAAGCTAAATTATCAGTGAGCAATGAAGTAATTAGGCGATACGAAGATAATCAAATGTCATTCAAATGCAACATTAACATAATTTATTAATTAAGCAGCTAACATATAAAAAGTAACAATATGTATACAAGAAACCTATAATAATAAATAGGTTGTAAGTGTGAACTGTAACAAGCTGTTGGTTTCAATATTTATAAAAAAAAAATGTAGTCTACGAAATTAATTAGTTAATTTTCACTGTTTAATTTCGTAGACCCTACGGTGTTTGTGCCGTTTTTGTCAGTTTTCAGCGATCTTTTAATTTCTCACCACAAGTTTGCGATTCGTTTGCGAAATATTTTATACTTACACAAGTTTTGTTAACCGACGATATAAAACAGACACAGCCTAGGAATATTAAATTAAATATTGACTTTTATATTTATCATGTAATTATGAAATTGTAATTTTATGAAAAAGTTTAAAAGTATTTTTATATTTTTAATGAATTTATTTGTAAGGTCTAACTCAGGGTTGCAACAATTACATAGTCGTGTTTAGCCTACTAAATATGTAAAATACATATAACGGAGTATATTATGAAAATGTTTGAGTGTTTAAAAAATTACATGTAATTTTGGCAAAAGTTTATCGGATTGGAGGTCACAAAAATTAAGATGTGATGATAATTCCAAATGATAGCTGTCCCAGCTTATAAAAGAACTTCTCACTCACTGGGTCTGAGTTTGAACGCGATAAACTCAAAATTTGCTGCACAGATTTTCATGTTATACTAACGAATGAACGAAGTAATTTATGAAGAAGATTTAGATGTATAACTAATTAAAGTTTTATGTAAACATGCCTAAGAACAATGAAAAATGTTATAAGAAAAAATATCTATTCCCGCGCACCTGTGGGCAGAAGCTGAGGCGTCTATTCTACTTAAGGTTATATCTATTCAGGTGTATGCCCGTTTTTGCAACACTAAGTATTTTATATTTAGAACCAATGGAACCACTAGAACAGAGCCTGTTCGGGACAAGAAAGTATAATAATTACTAATAGAAATTAAATAGAACGGTGTTAATTTATCTTTATTATTTAAGCAATTAAATTATCTAATGTCAATATTGAACCGAGAAATAACATAAATATTATTTAATAATTTCCAACTCAATTAAAATTTGTTTAATTTTTGTTGTCGTTTTCGATTACAATTATAAGTCGGAAATACAATCAAAAATCAATTTTGAATATAATTATAATTACTTAGTGTGCTGGACAGATATAATAACATAAACGACTAATTTAAATCGACGTCTTATTATTACAATATTTGCTATTTTATTTCAGATGAATTTCTTGTTCAGGATTCATGTTGGGTCCTGGGTAGCTCAGTGGTTAGAGCAGTCGAACAAATTGCGAAAGGTCATGTGTTTGAGTCCCATCTCAGAGTGCCAGGGACAAAGTTGGTTTTTTAAGCATTTTTTTATTAAGAATATTGATGTTTATCATTTTTGAAGGGATAATTGAAAGTTGTGAAATAATAAAGAAGTAAGTATGTAAATAAAAATTTAGTTAATGATAAAAAGAATATATTAAAATTAAGCAAATTAAAATAGCTAATAATGGAGTGAAATTGTTAATTAATGAGAAACAAAATTCTACAGCGCCACTTTAAATGTCTGAAAAAACCGATGACGAAAAAGACGAAATAATGAGTCATGTCAAAGAGTCGCACAGATAAACGATAGCTATTAATTTAATGTTCATAATGAGTTAATTTAATTTAATTTCATTCTCTTATAACCAGTCTCAAATATGCCTACTAAACTAAATTTAATTTTAAACCTGTCAGACTACGTTTTAAAATAAATTATTAAGATAAAAGAAGTCTGCAATACCGAAGTATATGTTTTTTTTCTAGATTACATGTGATAATAGAATAACGACACTGGCACAAATTAATATTGGATTATTTTTTAGACAGAGTCGGCACCATTATTTTACAATAACTAGATTACGCTTGCTTTGCTTATATTTTATAACCTTTGTACTTATATTGGATTAGATTTTAAATTTTAATATTTATAGAATACCTTGACTGTAATCTATTATCATCATCAGCCCTTTTACGTCCCCACTGGAGGGGCTCGGACCTTCCTTATGGGTGGTTAAGGAGGACTAGACATGACAATCCACGCAGGCTGGGTTATAATCTATACTAATAAAGAGGTATAGTCTCTTACTTTGTTTATTGTAGATAGTAATCTTTGAAAATATGGATCCGATCATAAAAACTCTTTCGCCTATGTGAAGCTGTGGGCCATAATATACGCGGGCGAAGTGGCGAGAAAACAGCTAATATTATATGATTTTTAAAAATATAATAAATACATTAGTATCTTCTACTTAATATATTTTTTTTATATTCCTCTGTCCGTATGATTTTCTTAAAAAGGGGCCCAAACTTTTTGTTTTTTCTTCTATGTCTTAACTTATACTAATATTATAAAGTGGAAATATATGATGGTTTGTATCTGTATAACACTTGTATAATATTTAAGTTTGCATCGTAAAAAAAATTGTGTTTGGGGTTTTTAGTTACTTGGGATTTAAGTGCTGAAATTGAAGTTATTTTGTTAATTTATCGCTTTCTATATTTTTTTAAAGTTAGGTTATGTTATCTATCACTTACATTACTTTTGAGTTTTTTTTACAAAACTATATTTTTACTTAAGCTGTTAGACACATATCACTTGTTGTTCAAGTAAAAAAATATGTTTGAATGTAATGATCATAAATTATATACTTATTTGTAGATAAACTAATTTAAGGTTGCCTGCCTGGAAAAAATAGCATTAAAGCGATAAGGCTCATAAGCTGTTATTATTACTTAATTATATCAAGAATGGTATGTGCAATCAGAAATATTTGTATTGTTTTGTATCTCAATTGGACTATTAAAAGGGAATATATTTATTAATTAAGATTATTAGACATAAAATAAATGGTTTTAGTTATTAAAGAAATAGATAAATAAGTGCAATGACTTCTGAAACTTCATCAATGTTTTTCTTAAAATATTATTTAAACAAATGTAATTTGGTTTACTTCTAGGAAAGAAACAGTGATAATATTTTTTTTAGTCGTTTGTATATAATAAAAATGTTTTTCTGGAAATTGAATTTTTTACTTAGGTAAATGATTCATTCACTTTGTAAAATAGGACTAAATATTTATTGCCAGATATTATTAAAATCGTATATGCTGTGCTTGCTATAAATATGAAGAAAGCAATTTATGTACTTGTCATCGTGAAATTTGATCTATTTGTCATATTTAATTAGGATTATCAATTAAGGTATTTGCCATTCAAGTGACACGTTCAAGTATTATCAATAAAATAAATTGGCGGTATATTAAAATGTAGCTCGCGAATTTGTTTGTGTATATCCGTACAAACAGATTTTTCGTTTCTAATTTTTGACGACACACATTAACCTATTGACTTTTTGTTATATCTCAAAGAATGAAAACTATCTTAAAGTTGAAAATTAAAAAAAAAATTGGCTATTTAATTGTAAATTGTTTTGTAAATAAAGTTGGTTATAATTTTAAACTGTAATTTATTAATAATTACTTTTCAACGCCCACAGCTCCAATCGCTCCAAGCTGTCATGGAAGAGCTGACTTTCCCGCCTGCACTGCTCGCTGGTGCCATTCATGGGCACCATCACCCTCGGAAACTTCTCCCATAGTTCCAAAACGTTAACACCGTGTACATAATCAACAGTTTCATTTTTCGCGGCAACTTTTAATATAGTACCATTGAGGATAGTGTCTGATAATATGCTGTCGGTAAGTGTGAGTTCGATGCACTCGCGGGCTGCTGCGATTGTAACTACAGCGAGCAGTAAGCATGCGCGCGCGTCCATGGTGGCGAACACAATGATGCGCAAACGCAACGCTCGCGACGTATATCATTAGTAGACGCGTTCTTGAACATTTAACCTGTGGAAGACGGACAATGGACGTTGGGAAACGTTGTCGTATTCGTCGCAGGATTTTCGTTTTTTGTCTGTTCGGGACTTTTTGTCTATCACTAATTTTATGGAGCAATTAAAATGTTGATTTTTACGGTCGTGTAATAATTAGCATTGGTTATTATTTTTATTTATTCTAATTAATTTTATTAAAATCTTTTTATTTCACTTATGATTTAATTAATGTAGCATTCAGAATTCCAAATTTAAGACATATCTTAATTATAATTGAGCAATAAAACATCCAGTCAGTGGTATCTGAAGACGATTTTTGTTCAATTATATTTCTAGATAATTATTTGCCTTTTCTCAAAACTTTGATTACCATTGAACATACCATAGAATTCGTCTTCTTCATTTCCAGTCATTTTCTAACGCTTAGGTGTAGGCTTCCTTAAGTTTCAGCCATCTTTTTCGGTGTAGTGCAATCCCTAAACTCTTTGTTCCACCTGCTATTAATGTCCTCTTTTCTCTCTCTCCATTGCCGTTTGGGGTACAAGAGTTATTTCAGGTTCTCTTTGGCTCATATCCAAGTCTTTTTTTCCAGAATTTTCAAATTTAAAAAGTGGTCTACTAAAAAAGCAAAAAAGTAATGATTTTATATTAGGTGACTTCAATGATGGGAAAACCCGTGTTATCTTGCTATGTTCTGAAGGGTCGAGGACACTAATAATAAAAACAAAAGAGTTTATTATAGATGCCACTTTTAATAGTGGTCCCAAACCATTTTATGATTTTTTAAGTATTCATGGGGATTTTGGTAGCACAGACTTTTTTACAAATTATTAAATTTTATTATTGATATTGAGACATTTATTAAAACTGAGTGTCCAAACAAAAGCAAAAGGAAATATATAATCCGATATAACGCCATCAGCCATATCATTTTGCAATGTATGTCGAATGAAATCTCTATAGGACATGTTCTAGAAAAACTGAGATAACTTTAACCAAATTCAGCTTTCTTTATATAAATCAGTTTAGGTTGAAGTGTCGGCGTTAATTTATTATTATTATTCTTAATTAAATAGTTGTTCAATTCTAGCTTCTAGTATCTAGTTTTAGTCTTTTAGTCACGTTGATGAAATATGTTTAATGAATATATAGTCTTAGCGGTTTAAAAGAATTTTTTAACAAAAAAGTGAGAAAAATATACTTTTCTTAAAAGGTGAGTGCTTATTTAAGAAACTGTTACTGAGCGGAGTGTTTCTGTTGGTTATTAAAATTATAATCGTGAATATCTGGTTTGAATAATTGAATTGGTGTTGAAAAAAGACTCACCACCTTAGTCTTATGTAAACATGAAACCAGCCCTGCGATTCTGTAACAATCCAGACCCGAATTCGAATTCACTCATGTGTCCGTATTCTAGTCATTTAGTAAAGAAATCCTATTGATTCCATTTTTTGTATAAAAATACTAAACAAAATTGATTGATTAAACGTGTCTTAGATATTTTAATCCTATATCATTTCGAAACTCACTTAACTTATTTCACGAAACATTATTACCAATTCAAGTTTGAGCGGATGCCGCTTTTTGAAGTGAATTCGGACCCCTGAGTGGAATCGAAATCGGGTTTGAAGTTTTCCAGAATCGCAGGGCTGTAAAGGGTCCGAAACGTCATAAAAGAAAATACAAACACGATGAAACCGTTTAAAAGTTGTTTCATTTATAGATAGTTCACGTTAAAATATAAGAAATCAATATATTACTTCTGACTTTTTAAAGTATGAAATCAAGTGATGCTTATATTTTTTCTTCGTGTAGGTATCACAACAATTATCTGTATAAAAATGTATGCTTACATTGCGAAAGTCCTGGAGATTTTGTGTATTTGCGGGATACAATAGATGTTTCCAATACGTAGGTATTTATATAAACTGGTCATCAATTTGCAGTAAAATCAATGAACTTACATCAGCGACGAATATCGGACCTCCTACTTTTCGACTTTGAAGTCGATTTTTTAATCGACTTCGACTTTTTTAATCGAACTCGAAAAAGTTGTACTGATGAGATAGAAAAATAGTTGATCATTTTGAAGTTGTGTGAATGGGAAGAAAATTAAATTAATAAAATATTCCTATCGGATCTACCAAAAGAGTTGATTCGTTGAGAAAGAAAAATAGTTGATCTGTTTCAGTCGGTCAGATTGGAAGGACAGGCCATAGCATATATTTATCAGTTCTAACGTTCAGCGACCGTTGAGAACCAAAGTATTATCCATTGGGTGTCAAGTATTTTGAGATACCTATTCAATTTATTTTATCAGACTAAAAATGAAGTTGTTGTTATGCAATTGATTTGTCTTTTATATGTATGTCTTTCACGTTATTTTCGAAACCAGTTGACTGGTTCTGATATTTTTTGTTTATATTATGAAACCTTTGTTTATATCATTAAAGCCTCTTATTAAAACCACGAGGATTGGAGTGGATTGGTAATTGTTTTTTAAACCTAAAAAAGCAATAAATTTGTATATATTACTATACATATAATAAATCTTACTAAACTTTAAAATTCGATAAATATTTTATTACGGCAGTTTGTTAAAATAATAAGCATGGCCACTTTATATTTCATCAAATTAATGAGAATTAATTCCAAAATAATGAAGACGCTTCCGGTTTTTTTAAATAAACCATTTTTAAGCACGGAGGAGCCCGAGATTATAAAGACAAGATGCTCGGAAAATAGCGTCAGTGCACATCGAGCGCTTTACTGAAGCTTCGTCTCCGCTGTGTGGCGAAACTTTAAAGCCGTTCTCAACCCGTATTAAGAGCGTGATTATTATTTATGAATATTAAGGTGTTCAATTCATTAATAATATACTTGTTAAGCCTTCGTGGAAAGTTGTAATGGTGGTGTTAGCCGGTCCACTATAGTATGAACATCGAAGACGTCCTTTATTTATTCAGCGATGGCAACATAAAACATAATAATAATAATAATTTATTTGCTTTTAAATGAGGTACACTTAAAAGCAAATAAATTAACAAACAACATTTATGTAAGTAATCGGTGGTCCAAATTTCGCTACGTTTTTTATGTACACATTAATCTGCAATAATATATTGGGAGTTTCACTAAGTGGTGAAATGGGATACTTTAGATATTAAGATTTTCTATTGTATCTATTGTATCACATAAGTTAATGGACTACCTTGTAAAATAAAAGGCTTTTACAAGCTAGTCTATTAACTTTTTATTTTTAAAAGAAGTTGAGTCACTAAAACAGACGAAGTTTGTATAATTAAACCATAAATTTTTACTTTAAGACATAACGTCGTCTGTATGCTTAGTTTCAATATTTATTCTTGACAAATAATAGATATTGGTTTTTAATAAAATTTTGTTTATACCTATACAATGTGTAGTAGTTTTAAAATAATATTGTAATAGTACTGAGTTAATATTAAAATTGTTATGGAAAAACATTATTTGTGTATGTTATTTTGTTTTACCTCGTAGGTAGAAAGACAAATATGCTATTGATTTTGAAATTTCAGTTCATTCCTAATCGAACGTCAGTCCTGCTATTCTATAAAAATCCAAACCCGAGTTCAAATTCACTCAGGTGTCCGAATTAACTTTAAAAAGCGGCATCCGCTCAATCTTGAATTGGTAACACCGTTTCGTAGCATAAGTGAAATGAGTTTCGAAACGACATAGGAATAGAATACCTGAGTAACGTATAATCAATATTTTTTTTTGTATTTTTATACAGAAAATGGAATCAATAGAATTTCTTCACTAAATGGCTTGAATTCACTTAGGTGTCTGAATTAATTACAAAAAGCGGCTTCCGCTCGATCTTGTAATGGTCATGTAAACGTTTCGTGGCATAAGTGAAGTGAGTTTCGAAATGATATAGGAATAGAATATCTGTGACTAGTATAATAATCAATTTTGTCTTCCATTTATATACAAGGAAATCGGACACATGAGTGAATTAGAATTCGGGTGCGGATTTTTTACAGAATCGCCCTGTTGATCTGTAGTACTGTTCTGTAACAAGTTTTCACATAAGTATAGCTAACAAATGTAAAAAGTTACCTATACTTATAAAATACCTACAAAATGACAATATTATTATCTAACAATATATATTTTTCGATACTTTTTTTTTATAAAATACGAGTTCGCCATTAAACGCTTATCAGGCGTTTAAAAGGTAATGAAGATTATTTAATTGAACCTCCACGCTATGACATGAGCTCAACGTCAAATTCGAGGCTGGTTTTGTTATGTTGCATATTCTTTTTATCTTGCGCTTTTTCAGTTAGTTGTTTTTCAAGCAGGCGGGTTTTTAGTTTTATTAACTATTTTTTTTTCTAAAAGAGGAATGTTTTTATTGTTTGTTGGTGTGCTTGTATGCATATAATATAATGCCACATTGCCGATACAATTTTTCAAATTTAGAACAATATTAGAGTTTAAAGACGGTATTAAATCTAAATGGACGTTTATGCAACTGACAGTAATGTCTTTAAATTAATGACAAAACAGCTAGTCCAATATACATATATCTATAAATTCTTTAGGCTTCCGAGTTCTTACACGTGTCATATATATAAATCGTTTTTATAAAAGCTTTTCATCAAACCATGTTATACGAATAATACATCCTATTGTCAACCTATTTGTAAACATTTATAAACGGAACAGGCTTAGAATTTTTATTATAAATTATATATATTTGATACTGCGTCGCGAGTTATAAAGTCACGAATACACATATTTATTTATATATATTAAAATAAGCTAATAAAATACATTATCGCGATAAACGGGTTTAAAGTATGGAGAGCTGTTGCTATAAGAAATATACGAATATATTATATATGTACTATTTGTAGGATATTAATTGATGATTAAATATGTTTATTTACATTAAAAAATAA